CGCTGGGCCGCGCACGTGCCGCCGGCCATGATCTGCACCCCCCCCTCTTGGACGCCCCCCTCTTGGCCGCTCCCGATCCTGCGCGGTGGCTGGATTCGCCTAGCGCGCCCCGTTGCGCTCTACTCGCTGGTGCAGTCCCTCTGTCCAGCCGCCGACGCAAAGAGTGTTCGTCGCTCGTCTCGGGGAAACGTAGGATCAAGTCGGGCCTGTCCCTCTACAGGTGGAAAATTCCGAGATGGTCCAACAATTAGTCAGGGGCCTATTTTTTCAGTACTTTTGAACATTGTTGGTTCTAATTTTTTGTCCAAAATCCCCCTGTAGGGGGACAGGCCCGACCTAAACGTAGGACTCGAGTGCGCCCGACCTCGGGTTCGCCGACGCTTCTGGACGAAGGCGTCCTGGACGTCGGCAGCCCAGTCATCGTGGGGTGCTTGCTTCGCGTCAGACTTCGGACTGGGTTCCCAGACCTCCAGCGTAATGAAAAACTCAAGACGGAGTTTTTTCTCAATTTTCGGGCCTCTAGCGGCCCTCGCCGGGCCCCGGGACCGTCAAAAAACGATTCAGGATGAAAGACCGGTCCCAGGGAAAGGGTCGAGACTGCCGGGGACCCCGTATTGATAAACTCACGACGTCGGATCTCTGGGTTTCGTCATTTTCATGATGGCCCCGTCAGGCCAACCCGAGTCCCCCCAGCCCGAGTTCTACGTCTCCCCGATCCCCGATCAAGGGGGGGATGCGTTGACCCCCACCTGCCCATGGATCGCCGATGGGAGTCCGGTAGCCCGCCCCGCCCAGGAACGTGCGGTTTCGCTATCGAGGGCCCCTCGCCGATCTGTCGGCGATGTATCGCCGATTCCAGGTCGATGCTGCTCCCCCTGAGCCCAGTCCCCCCTTATGATTCCTCCTCAGGGGGGGGGGGCGACAGGAGGAGCAGCAGGATCAAGGATCGAGGAGGAGCATGGCAGGGTCGTCTGAGAAAGGCCCCCGAACCCAGAGTCAAAAGTCCCCCTCATGATTTGTTCATGACGTCGACCCTCACAGGTCTCGACCCATTCTCCAGGACCAGTTTTTGTTTCCCACATCCTGAGTGGGGCTCTTGTTTTCTCTGGACACCCCGCGCAGTCCTCACCCACACCCCCTCTCTTCCTCCGCATTCTTCACTCACTCCCACTCACTCCTTCATTCATTATCATCGTCATCTTCATCAACCACACACTCACACGCTTTCATGATCACCATCATCATCACACTCACACACTGTTGTCCCTATTCATTATCACCATTCACCCACTCATCATCATCATCACCATCATCATCATCATCACCACCATCATCATCATTATCATCATCATCATCATCATCATCATCATCATCATCATCATCATCATCATTCACTCGCTCATCACTTCGTCATCACTCACTCCACATCTTGACGATGGAAGATGTCTCAAGCGGGAGCCTCCTCTGTGAGTGAATAGTGAGGAAGTCTCAGGAGGGAGCCCCCTCACTATGGGCCCCGCAGATCATGTTACTAATCCGAGCGGGTCATCCAGAACTTGTAACTGTCGTCGCGTTTGACCTCCTCTGGCTCGAGTATAGAGGAAGTCTCAGGCGGGAGCCTCGTCTGTGAGTGAATTGTGAGGAAGTCTCAGGCGGGAGCCCCCTCTCTATGGGGCCCGCACTTCATGTTGGTAATCCAAGCGGGTCATCGGCAACCTGTAAATGTCGTCATTTTTGGTCGCCTCAGGCTCGAGTATGGTGGAAGTCGCAGGCGGGAGCCTCGTTTGTGAGCGAATTGCGAGGAAGTCTCAGGCGGGAGCCCTTTCCTTATGGGGCCCGCACTTCATGTTGGTAATCCGAGCGGGTCATCGGCAACCTGTAACTGTCGTCACTTTGGGGGGTCTTCAGGCTTGAACTTGGAGGAACTATCAAGCGGTAGCCTCGTCTGTGAGTGAATTGCGAGGAAGTCTCAGGCGGGAGCCATTTTCTTATGGGGCCCGCGCTTCATGTTGGTAATCCGAGCGGGTCATCGGCACCCTGTAACTATCGTCACTTTGGGGATCCTCAGGCTTGAATATGGAGGAAGTCTCACGCGGGAGTCCCGTCTGTGAGTGAATTGCAAGGAAGTCTTAGGCGGGAGCCCCCTCCCCATGGGGCCCGCGCTTCATGTTGGTAATCCGAGCGGGTCATCCAGAAGTTGTAACTGTCGTAACTTTTGGGCTCCTCTGGCTCGAGTATGGTGGAAGTCGCAGGCGGGAGCCTCGTTTGTGAGCGAATTGCGAGGAAGTCTCAGGCGGGAGCCCCTCCGTATGGGGCCCGCACTTCATGTTGGTAATCCGAGCGGGTCATCGGCAACCTGTAACTGTCGTCACTTTTCGGGGTCTTCAGGCTTGAATTTGGAGGAATTATCACGCGGGAGCCTCGTCTGTGAGTGAATTGCGAGGAGGTCTCAGGCGGGAGTTTCTCTTTATGGGTCCCGCACTTCATGTTCGAATCCGAGGCGGGTCATCGGCACCCTGTAACTATCGTCACGTTTGGGCTCCTCTGGCTTGAATTCGGAAGAAGTCTGAGTCGGGAGCTTTGTCTGTGAGTGAATCGCGAGGAAGTCTCAGACGGGAGCTTCTCCCTATGGGACCTGCATTTCATGTTCGAATCCGAGGCGGGTCATCCGAGCGAGCTTTTTGGGTTCCTCAGCTCCTGCGGCTTGAATACGGGGGAAGTATTCGGCGGGAGCGTTTGTCTGTGAGCGAACTGCGGGTAGCCTCGTCTGAGCAGGTCGTCGGCAAATTTGCTGTTGTCATGGGCCTGCGTGCCCGAAAGGGTGATTGAGGAGTTGACGACGACGACGACGACGACGACGACGACGACGACGACGACGACGACGACGAGGCAACGGCCGGGCGCAGGGTTAGCCCTTTGTGTCCGGGCCGGGGGTGGTAACCCATCCTCGGCCGAATCGGGGGCAGGGGTAACCCCTTGTCTCAGGGCCGCCGGTGGTAACCCATCGGCGGCCCACACGGCAGGGGTAACCCCTTGTCTCCGGGCCGCCGGTGGTGACCCATCGTCGTCACCGGTGTTGCACTTCGGCGATTTCCTACAGCCGAAGCTCACTGGCAGCTTCGGGCTCCTGACGGACGTGAACGAGCGCCCGGACGACGGGTCCTACAAGTACGCGGGGCCGCCGACGGTGGAGATTCAGCACGCCATCAACGTTTTCTCTCGCATCCCCTGCGTCTTCGAGCTGAAGGGCACGAAGCGCTTCGAGCCCAGGGGCCCTCTGATCTCGTTCTTGGGCTGCACGCGCCAGGGCAAGCGCTTCCCGCCAGAGGTCTGGTCTGCCTGGGAGAAGACGCTGGCCTCGGACAACCACGGCGTCCTGGACCCTCGGCACCAGCACGAGAACTTTCGGCTCGGCTTCGGTATGGGCATCTACTGGGAGACGCTCGCGAGGTGGATCACCGCGCGTGCTCGTCGTGACGCGCGGCGTCTGGGCGTGCCCTTCGTTTTCCTGCAAGCCGTAGACGAGCGAGGCACGATTCAAGGCGACCCAGACGCAGGCCGCCGCCTCCTGAACGTCCCGAACATGCATAAGACGGGGGACATCCGAGGCGTCTTACTGGCACACGTCGGCATGGAGGTCGGTCATGGCCGCGCAGGAGGAGCTGAAGAAGAAGTTGGGGCTCGCGCAGGAGCAACTGGCCACCATCGCGTCCTTCGAGTTTCACGCAGACGACGAGCGAGACTACGAGGAGTGCGCGCAAGGCCAGCTCTTTCGCCCCCGCTACCTACCGCAGGGAATCTGCATGCAGGTCCACGGCTTCGAGGAGCTCCCGATCTACAAGGAGGTCGCCGAGGTGCTGCTGCAGAACGCCGAGGGCGCTGACGACGGCGCGGCCGAGGCGCGGGCTAGGAGCTTGCTCACGTTCAGGCCCAGCGAGCAGGAGCTCACGTGGCAGAGCTCGGGGCCGCTCGTTGCGCGCCGCTCGGGGTTCACCCTGACGCACGCGTCCTACCTGACCTCCGCGCTGTCGCAGGGTCAGACGCTGCGCAAGGGCGTCACCATCGACTGCGCCAAGGATGAGGACTCCGGTCGCACGGGCATGTCGGACGAGCAGTGGTTGCTGCACCTCTACGTCATGTTCTCCCGCGCCACGCGCATGCGGAACATGCTGATCCCGCGGCCGCCCGCGCGAGACTTCCTGGGGCGCGGGCCGCCCGCGCCCCTGCGGAAGGCGCTCGAGGAATTCGACAAGAGAGGAGTGGGCCCCAGGGTTGAGGCGGAGCAGCCCGCGGCAGAGCTGGGCTTCGTGCTGCCTGCCGCCTGAGCGCGGCCGCGATTAGCTCGGCGCCTGCGGGGTTGTCCCAGCGGCTTGCTCTCGTGCCCCAGCGGCTCGCGGAGTTGTCCGAACGGCCTGGCCTGAAGGGTCGCCCCGGCGGCTTCGCGATCTAGCCGTCGGCACACGCGTGCGCGCAGTTGCCCGGGCGGCGAGGGCGCCGAGGAACATCGATTTGCTCGCGCCGACCAGGGGGGCGGGGCGGCGCACATGGAAACAACGCAGGGGGGGGGGCGATGGGGGGGAGGGAAGGAGTATGGGGGAGGGCGATGATGAGGATATGAGGAGGTGGAGGAGGAGGAGGAGGAGGAGGAGGAGGAGGAGGAGGAGGAGGAGGAATAGGAGGAGGATCAATCAAGGGAGGAGGAGACGGCAGAGCAGAGGTCGAGAGGAGAGTGTCCGCCAGGGAGAGGAAGACAGGGCTAAGGGAAAGCTAAACAGATTCTCATGCGGGGTCCTACTGCAGGAGTAATTCGTCTTGGGTTGTTTTGGGACGGCCCCGAGGACCGGCAAGGGCCCCCGGAGGCCGAAAATGGCGAAGAACCCTCCGTCGTGATTTTTGTCATGGCTCGGGAGGGTCTGGCATCCTTTTCGAGCATCCTTTCGAGGCCGAGTCACACGTCTCCCCGATCCTCTTCCTCCGAGGGGGTCTGGGATCATCTCGAGGCCGACATCGAGAAGCTCCTCTCCGGCGAGGCCGCCGCCGCGGGGCCCCTGCCGCGCATGACGCTCGCCTCCGCCGCGACCCGCGGCACCCAGCGGCTCTCCCTGTCGGCAGGCCCTCGGCGGCCCTTCGGCGGCCCCGCGGCGGCCCTCGGCGACCCCCGGGCGGTCCAGCTCGATGCTAATAAATATAGAAGTAAGTCGGGCCTATCCCTCTACAGGGGAGTGTTCCAAAATAGTTGTTTTACAAAAAAATCCAGAGACTATTTTTAGTATTGTTTGACGATTTGGGTTTCCTTGACGGCGCCGACGCGTGGATCTGGATCCAAGAAATCAGCGCGGAGCGCCAAAAGTTTATGTTCATGCAGTTGTTTCTCACCAGCGGCCGCCCCCGCCCCTCGGCGCCGCAAAGGAAGGAACCCCACGGCGGCCCCTCGGCGCGAGGCCCTGGGAGGCCTCGGGAGGGCCTCCGACGTCGACGCCAGTCGTCGTCGTGCGGATCGGGGCAACGACACGGGGGATGGGCAGAAGGGGGGGATGCCTACACCCCCAATCGCCCATACATCGCCAATGGGGGCCCGATAGGTCCCACCCCCCAGGAACGTGCGGATTCGCAATCGGGGTCCTATCGCCGATCTATCGGCGATGCATCGCCGATTCAAGGTCGGAGTTGACCCGTATGCCGATCCTCCCTATTCGTGCCCCACGGTGGAGCGTCTGGTGGTCTTCTAGTTTTTTCCGGAGAAAACAGAAAACTGCTTGGCGCCTCTTGGAGGGGCCGTCGCGCCAAGCCTTGGACGTGCCTGGGGGTCGATAGCGAGATGTCGCCGTCGTCTTCGCCACCGTCATCGGCAGGACTGCTGCCGCTGGAGCCGCTGAAGGAAGATCAGGAGGATAGCGCCGAGAGCATCAACGAAAGGGAGAAGGACCAGAAGGGCGCGCAAAAAAGGGAGGAGGAACAGCATGAGGATCAGGGGGGCCCCACGGATTGTCCCCCTGGTAGAGTCGATGCCGACCCAGCTCGATATCGGCCTTAGCCGACCCGATCCGATTGGATTCCGATGTTCCACCGGTCCGAGGCGGCCCGATGTTCCCATGAGCGGCCGAATTGATTCGATTCCGATTCCGTCCCGATGCGGCCCGAGCCGACGCACATTCCGATTCGATCCGAACTCCCAAGTCGATGCTGAATGTTGAGTGATCCGTCAGCGAGACGGAAATCCAGCAGGGGCCAGTTGGTCATCTGCGGCGTCCCAGAAGGGGCGTCGCTTTCGAGGGATCGAGATGTTGGCACCTAGTCCTCGGTGGAAGACTGGCGAAGGTAAGACGGATGCGGCTCTTGCGGCGGAAACAAGTGGAAGCAACAATCCGCTCCCCCAGCGATGTCAGCATAGCGATTCCAACACTTTGAGAGTCCGGCAGTATCTGACCCATGTGGCCAGGTGCCATTCCCCGAGGACGTTTCTGGGGCATCCTCGGGAGCTGAAGCAGCCGAATGTCACCCGAAGATGCCCTCCAGATGGCCCCGCATAGATGCATGAACCCTCCAGGAAGATTGCAGGCTGCTCCAGAGGGCCTCAAACATGCAAAAGACTCCGCATATTCTAATCCATATCCTGAGCACGGTTGTTGTTGTTCATGGGACACCATCATCATTTTTCCCCCGCCTCCTCCTTCCATCCTCACTCGCACGCATACTGCCTCAGATCCAGCCACTAATACACTCTCACATCCAGAGTTGTACACACTCAGGCCCATTTCATATTCAATTATAATCGAACTCATGTTTACCCACACATACACATACCTTAGGTGGTCTCGGCCTTGCGCGCAGCGCCGAAGCGGAGAAAGGGAAGTGCAACGGCCAGGGCCCCGCGCGCGCTGGGCTCAGAGGGGGCGGCAGCATATGCCATCCGGGCGTGGATGGTTGGGGAGACCTGGAGGACGAACCGACCACAGAATGGGGATGGGGTCCCGCACTGAGGGCGCAGTAGCGACACGACTGGCGACGCGATGAGCGAACGATCGACCAGCATGCACGCAACGATTGAACGGGTTATAGCCGAGGAACGTCGACGGCGGAGGGAGGTGGGGCAGATGGAGATGGTAAAATGTCGTGGACGACGCTCAGCCCCCCTAGACTTCGAACACACACACACACACACACACACACACACACACGCATACATGTACAGTCAGCACCGCGATGTAGCACGCATGGCTTTTGAGCCACCTAAGCAGAGCGGAGTCAACCAGGAGTGTTTCAAGGGCCCATTCGCACCAGGATTGCGGGGAGGTTTTGGGCGAAACCCTTGTTGTGGCAAAGTAGACGAGTCTCTGGCCAGAGCCCATGAAAGATCACCGCGATCTAGCAGGCATGACACCTGAGCCACCCGCACGAGTTGCGTCCTTCGTGAGGGCGGCCTTCTTGCTCCCAGCGAAAACGGCAAATATTTCCTCGGCCTCGATGTCGTGATAGCCGTATAGGGTGGAGGGCGGCTCTTTTCGAAATGGGGCGATCGCGGTTTCGCGTGGATGGTCTTCAGACTTACTGATCAGGCACGTAGCACGGGTGTGGGGCGGGCGGCTCCTCTTTCAATCCAGGGTTCGCGTTGGACATTTCGTTCGACGTTCGGATCCTACCTGCCCGCAGTGCTTACGGTCCGACAGGAGGACGTGAGTCAGCTCCTTTCCAAAAGTGGGCCCTTGCCAGCGCGGTGGGCCATCAGGGTGCTCGTCTCTCAGGGCTGGTTCCTGTAGCGGGGAAACCACCTCCTCATCCTCCTCCTCATCCTCCTCCCTCCTCCTCCTCCTCCTCCTCATCCTCCTCCCTCCTCCTCCTCCTCCTCCTCCTCCTCCTCCTCCTCCTCCTCCCTCCTCTCCTCCTCCTCCTCCTCCTCCTCCTCCTCCTCCTCCTCCTCCTCCCCCTCCTCCGTCCTCCTCCTCCTCCTCCTCGTCCTCCTCCTCCTCCTCCTCCTCCTCCTCCCCCTCCTCCGTCCTCCTCCTACTCCTCCTCCGCCTCCTCCTCCTCCGCCTCCTCCTCCCTCCTACGTGTAAGTCGGTCCTGCCCCCCTACGGGAGGAACACTCAAAAACATCCATCAACAGTCTAAGGACGATGCGTTCCTCGAAAAAGAAGAATCCAGCAGATTCAAACATAGTCTACGGACGAGCTGTTGAGCATGTCTTATCCTGTGGGGGCATGCTGGCGTTTCTTGTTTCGTGTTTCGTTCACGATGCGCCTGTGGGAGGACATGCCCGACCTAATTCTACGCATTTCCCGGTGTCGGGCCACGAGACATGTCCACATGTTGGGCCAGGCCTTCCGCCTGAGAGCTCTTCACATCGCTGTCGTCAATAGACTCCATCAGGCACAAGCGTGGAGTGCCCTTCGCTTCCGAAATGCGGCTGTCGCCTCAGTGCCGCGCCGTTTCGATGTTCAAGCTTCGCGCACTTACGAGGATGGAGGCCAGATCGTTTCAGCATGTGTCTCTCCCTTGGAACTTCGCCACACCCCACGACCTGAAGCTCCCCATTGCGCAGCAGTTACACGGATGGAGGGCGGGTCCTTTCCGCAATGAGGCTCTCGCGTGAGACGTCCGCAAGTTCCATGACGAAACATTCGATTTGTAAACAGAGGGGCAGGCAGACTCCTGTTTCAGAGCGGCGTTATCGCAGAGCACATGCTTCAAGTGGACCGTACTTCATATGTTTACAGTCGGGGCCCTGAAGAAGGAACCCTTTTGGTTGGGGAGGGGCTCCGCGTTCCTCAAGTGTGTCACAGCTTGCCTCAGGTTTTCCTGATGTTTTCGATCGGAAATCGAAGTCTAACTTATGGAGAACAAAAGGGGCCTCGTTCCTTAGATCCACGTTCCTTATTTAGGGTTCCTTATTTAGGGGTTCTTTATTTAGGGGTTCTTTATCGAAGTTTTCAAACAAGGGGCCTCGTTCCTTATTTAGGGTTCCTTAGTTCAACGCCCCGACTGTAAGCCTCTCGGCAGCAGGGGGTGAGGGTGGACCCTGGGCAGAACCGGGGCGCGGCCTGAGCGGCAGGCCCACGGGACGCGAGTCACTCGAGGAATGCCCGGAGAGGCTCATGGGAGGGTGAGGAGAGAGGAGGAGGAGGAGGAGGAGGAGGAGGAGGAGGAGGAGGAGGAGGAGGAGGAGGAGGAGGAGGAGGAGGAGGAGGAGGAGAGAGAAGGAGAAGGAGGAGGAGGAGAACGAGGAGGACGAGGAGGAGGAGGCGGAGGAGGACGAGAGGCCGAGGACGAGGAGGAGGAGGAGGACGAGGAGAGGAGAGGAGGAGGAGACGAGGAGGAGGAGGAGGAGGAGGAGGAGGAGGAGGAGGAGGAGGAGGAGAGGAGGAGGGCTTGGGACGGGCGGGCGTGGTGCGGCATGGCTGACACCTCCTGGGTTTACTCTGCCCCCACCCGCCCGCCCGAGGAGAGGCAGATGCGGGCGCAGAGCCTTTGGGCGAAGTGGTGGGGCGCGCATCGGGGCGTCGTCCTGCACTACATCGGCGCGGCGGGCTCCGCCAAGGATCTCCTCCTTCCCATCCCCCACCCCGCCCCCCCTGCGAACTTCGCCTTCCCATCCACTACTGCCACTCCCCCTCCCCCTTCGCTCCTCCCCCTCCTCATCATCATCCCTGGTCGCCCTCCTCCCTCCTCCTCCTCATCCTGGGTCCTCCTCCGCATCTTGCCCCTCCTCCTCCTCCTCCTCCTCCTCCTCCTCCTCCTCCTCCTCCTCCTCCTCCTCCTCCTCCTCAGGTGCACGCGGCCCAAAGCTCCTTACCCGCATGGGCTCAAGTGAGTCGTGGGTCGCGCCCTGCGCCCACGCGCCGGCGCTTGGGGTGCCTCGGGTCTGCCGCGGCCGGACGATCCCGGTGGCGGGGGTAGGGCGAAGTATATGAGTTTTCCCCAGCACCGCTCGGGTCGGGGGCGGCCAAGAGGGGGATGATGATTAGGGGGGGGGTATCACGGCGGGGGCCATGAGATCTCCCCAGATTTCATGGCGCCTCTTTGTATTTCAATACCTCGCAAGGCCCCCCCCCCCCTTGGCCGCGCACATGCCGCCGGCCATGATTTGCGCCCCCCCTCTTGGACGCGCCCCTCTTGGCCGCCCCCGACTGGGGGAGGCTGGGATTCGTTGCGCGGGTCTGGGAGAAGAGAGCAGTTTTGTTGGTCTGGGAGAAGAGAGCCGTTTTGTTGGCCAGCCAGGCCCCACAGAGCACAGCACTGAATGGGAGGAGTTTGTTTTCGAATTTATGAAGTTTTGTTGCTGCGACGGTAGGCTGGTCTATCCTTTCAAGTATTTCGCACAAGTATCGTTTTCTCTCGTGCACGTGCGAGCAGGTGGTGTAGTGTCAGCGGTTTACGGCATTGCGGAAAGGACAGCCTTTGTTTTTGACGGAAACCGACATCTTCATCAGCAGGGCCATGTACATCGCGGGTACGTAGAGGCCATGGAATATACGCGAGAGGGTCGATCGAGCAGTGTCAGCGGGTTCTGGCGATCTCAATGTGCTTGCACAAGTTGGTTACTTGTTTTGCTTGTCCCACATCGTGTCGGGGCCGATCTTTCAGTCCATCGCGCATAGTGTTGCGACGTTTGCCTTTCGCATAGTGGGAGACCATTCGCATCAGCGGAGGCCACGCCGAAGTACATGCTCAGTCAGGACCAGACGCTCTCATTCCCTAGTCTAGTTGCCAGCATGGCGCCGTCAGAGTGCTGGCGCCAGGTTGAACAACTCAGGCTGTCCCGTGGGCGCACGGGGGGGAACAGTTTAAATAAGGTGAAAGCGCGGGCGTGGCGTGGTTTTCTTAATCTTCTTGTTCCGTCGGGGAGTCCGTGACGAACCGTGGAGGGAGTAGCAGCGTAAAGGTCGTGTGTGCCATCGAGCTTGCCGGATAGCCCGAAGCTCGATACTCCTCGGTTTGTTTCTCTTCCTCCCTCTTCATGTTCTTGATTTCTTCATCAGTAATTCCTCCCTGCCGCACCCCGAAGCCAGTCGAAAGGGCGGGCCGAGCGTTCCGCTTGAGATTTCCCCACCATTTCATCATGACCTTGAGGCTTAAAAAGTGGCAGCAGCTTCACAGATGGAGGGCGGGCCGCTTCCAAAATGTGCCTCTCGCCCCAGCGCCGCGCACATTCGTTTTGAACAAAATGCAAGAGCCTCAGGGATTGAGGGCGGTTAGTTTTCACACTGTGGCTATCGCCTTCGCGCCGCGCACATTCGTTTCGAACATTTGCAAGCGTTTCCTTAGTTTCATGGTCCCAGAAAAGGGCATTTTGGAAGGATTCGAGATTGTGATGGTGCTACAACTACGTTGGTTCGCGGTGTTGACGTCCCAGGAATGGTGTTGTGGCACGATTCAGGACCGTCAGGACGCAAAAGTCAGGTTGATCCGTGGCGCTGGAGTCCCGAGAACAGTGTTTTGGCACGCTTCAGGGTCTGCTAATGGTTGCCTTCCAACGAGGCAGTTCCTTCAGTGGAGATGAATGTGGGCCTATGAAAGGGGAGTTTGGATGGGGGGTTATTATAATATCGTTGATGAGTCTTGGATTTGCACTGGTCTTCCTCCCCCTCCTCCTCCATCACCGTCTCCTCCTGCTGTCCGTTTCCCCCATCCCGTCCCATCCTGAGGAGGGGGGATGCGCAGGAGAAGGACGGAATGGGGGATGAGAAGGGCTTTCAGAGGCTCAAGAGATCTGGCTGGGTTGCAGGAGAGTCCTGGATGGTCCCAGTCCGACGTTTTGGTTATGTTGTTCTGATGTTTCCATTTCCTCTCGTCGCCCTTCTTTTCCTCTCCGTTCTTGTTTCTCTACCTTTTCGCTCCCTCCTCCTTCTCCTCCTCCAACTGTTCCCTCTCCCTCTGTTCACTTTCCCCACCTCCTTTTCACCTACACCATCATCACTATAATTTTCTTCCCCCCCAACCTCCACCGACCCCTCTTTTGCATCCTCCACCCGGTCCTCCTTACCCCTCCTGCTGCTGCTGCTCCTGCTCTTGTTCCCTCGCCCCGCTTCCTCCCCCCCTCCCTCCTCCTGCTTAGCATCCCCCCTCCTCTCCCAGATATTTCTCCAAATGGCGCCCGGAAGGACCAGAGTGATGCTTGCGAGTTGGTGAAGAGGTGGGGGTTGTCCGAGCACAAGGTGCAGGGTTGCGAGCGAATGCAGGGATGAGGGGCGCGAGGAGGAGGAGGAGGAGGAGGAGGAGGAGGAGGAGGAGGAGGAGGAGGAGGAGGAGGAGGAGGGAGGAGGGAGGCACCGTACGGAGTCGGGCACGTCGGCGGTGGCCACCGCTCGGAACGAAGCCAGATCGGTGGCGTATAGCATGGCGGCGCGATATGAAGTGGTGGTGGTGTGGATTGGTTACGCCCTGACATGGGGCGTATCAAGCCTGCGCCTTGCGGATTGTAGTGGCCTCCGGCCAGTGCCGCCGATCCTGGGCGCTCAGGATTCGCGTCAAAACGGACGACGACGAAGACGACGCTTCTCCTTTTCCTCTTTTTTCTTATCCTCCTTCCCTCCAGGAAGGCATACTGGATGCTTCTGGGGGCTTCTTTGGGGCCTCATGGGCTCATGGGGACCGTCAAACATCGATCTGGGGATGAAAACCTGCACCAGATGGACCCGGGAGGGGTCTGCGGACGAATGTTGAGTGGATGCGGAGGGGGAGGAGAAAGAGGAGTAGGAGGAGAAAGAGGAGAAGGAGGAGGAGGAGGAGGAGGAGAAGCAGGAGGAGGAGGAGGAGGAGGAGGGAGAGGAAGAGGCGGAATATTGGATGTGGCACTTCTCGTCAGCAAAAGCAAGACAATGCCAGCATGGACAAGAGGATGAGGAGGAGGATGAGGAGGAGGAGGTTTCAAACGATAACGAGATGAAACGAGGAGGAGGATGAGTCAACGGGAGCAGGAGAATGAGGAGGAGGCGGAAGAGGAGGAGTCTGAGGAGATGGGAGGAGAAATAGGACAGAGGATGATAATGGTAATGAAGATGATGATGATGATGATGATGATGATGATGATGATGATGATGATGCTGATGATGATGATGAGGATGATGATGAGGATGATGATGATGATGCTGATGATGATGATGCCTCTGATACTGATGCTGATGACGATGATGATGATGATGATGGTTCTCATGATGATGGTGATGATAAAGATGACGGGGATGTTGATGGAGATGTCACTGATGATACGGATTATGGATATGATGATGGCGGTGATGATGATGCTGATGATGATGAGGAGCATCGGGATGATGATGATAATGATGATGATGGTGATGATGATGATGATGATGATGGCGATGGTGGTGGTGATGATGATGCTGATGATGCTGATGATGATGATGCTGATGATGCTGATACTGATGCTGGTGATGCTGATGATGCTCATGATGCTGATGATGCTTGTGATGATGACGATGATGAAGATGATGATGATGCTGATGATGATAATCATGATGATGATGATGATGATGATGATGATGATGATGATGATGATGATGATGATGATGCTGATGATGATGATGATGATGATGAGAATGATGATGCTGATGATTATGATGATGATGCTGATGCTGATGCTGATGCTGATGCTGATGCTGATGCTGATGCTGATGCTGATGCTGCTGATGCTGATGCTGATGCTGATGCTGCTGATGATGATGATGATGATGATGATGACGATGCTGAGGATGATGATGAGGACAGGAGGAGGATGAGGATGATGATAAGGAGGAGGAGGAGGAGGAGGAGGAGGAGGAGGAGGCGGAGGAGGAGAAGGAAGAGGAGGAGGAGGAGGAGGAGGAGGAGGAGGAGGAGGAGGAGGAGACGATCCGGAGGAGCAGGAATAGCAGGAGGCCGAGGAAGCATAGGAGAAGCAGGAGTATGGGGGAGAAGAGGATGATGAGGAGGAGGAGGAGGAGGAGGAGGAGGAGGAGGAGGAGGAAGAGGAGGAGGAGGAGGAGGAAGAGGAGGGGAAGGAGGAGGAGGAAGAAGAAGAGGAGGACGTGGACGACGGGGAGGAAGAGGACATCCTCGGCGTTTTTCGGCGGCCCTGGAAAGGCTTTGGGGGCCCTCGTCGGGCCCACTGGGGGCGTTTTCGGCGCTTCTTGGGGGGCATCATTGGGGCCTCGTGGGGACTTCTTGGAGGCTTCTTGAAGCCTCGTGGGGGGCGTCTTGGGGTCGAAGGCTCGAAATGGCATGCTTTCCCCCTCTGGGCCCCCTCTTGGGCCCGTCCTGGGGCCCTCTTGGGCCGTCTCTGGGGCCTCTTGGGCCGTTCTGGGTCCTTCGTGGTCCGTCTTGGAGCTCTATTGGGGGCCTCTCTTGGTCCGTCTTGGAGCGATCATGAGGGCCTCTTGGGCCGTCTTCGCCGCGGTGAAAGCCCAAGAGGCGATTATGCTGAACATGTACGTTTTCTGGAGTGAGTGTGGCAATCGTTCCCTCTTGGGAGCCTTCTTGGAAGCTTCCTCGGGCGTCTTGGAAGCCCTTTGGGCGGTATGGAGGCCAGAATCGGCGTCTTGGACCGATCGTTTGACGACTCGGGGCCCTCTGGGGCCGTCTTGGGAGCCTGTTGGGGTCCTCTTGGCCCGTGTTGGGACTCTCCTGGGCCCGAGAGATACCCCCCCCTGGAAAGGGTAGACCCCCCACCCGCCACCCTGCCCCCCCCCAGCAGAGCTGAAGCTCAGGCTGTAGCTTCTGTAAACTCACACGCCGGATCGGCGGATTCAGAAGGACCGCCGGGGGGTACTTGTGGCCGCGCTCTGTCCTCGAGGGACTCGGGCCTGGGCTGGAGAGGAGGGGGGAAGAGGAGAGGAGAGGAGGGAGGAGAGGAGGGATGAGGGATGAGCGGAGGACTGGGTCGAGCTCATCACTTGCGTACTGTTTCTCGCCTTGCCCTACGCCCTCCTGGATGTTGAGGGCCTGCTGGCGTGAGGGCCAGGCGCGTGTCGTGCATGCCCGCGGCCCGCCGCGGGCCACTCATGCCACGGGTGGCGCGCACAGCGGCCTGCGCATGGTCCGAAAGCTTGGCAGGACTGGCCTTAAGTCGGGCGACTGTAAGGGTAGCTCTTTGGGAGATGTTATATAGAATCGGGAGTATAGCTCGCGCGCCGTTGCCTTTGGCTCAAGGCACGCGCGCCCCATTTGCCCGGACACTGCGAGCGTTCGCTATGTGCTGGAAAGATCATTACATCGATACTATCCTATCTTATCCGTCCATTCCTCTTACTGAACCACCTCAGTACGATACCGGACGCTATTTGCCATCCGCTTCCCATGGAATCGGATGCTATTTGACTTACCATAGTCACTTCAGACTTGGTAGCGGAGCTGGCCGCACTCTCGTGTGGTCAGCTCTAGCTCTTCTTATCCTCGCGCTATACGGCGCGATTTTCGCGACCAACTACCACCCTGCGCCACCACTCCCAGTACATTTACGAGGATCAATACAAGAGCAAGAAGCAACACGAGAGGTACGACGTCTAGACAACAACATTGGTACCATATACGCTTCATCATTGCGCTACTACCAACCGCTCGGCAACGAGCCAAAAGCGCAGTACTTGAAGCATGGGCGGAGAGACCCGCAAGATATAGCGCCTCGAAGACTTGACAAGGCGCTACCCCAGCGCGGCAACGCGCCTAATAACCACCCCTACCTTCACAGCCTTGGGCTGGTTATATTCGCCATCATATGGTTCGCGCTGGGGGCAGCAATCGGACACATGCGCCGTGGAGATAACAGCACCGATGGGCAAACACATGGCCCATACTGGGACCCTCAAGGCAACGTACCTTTCCGCGAGTACGTTTATGAGGTCAACGCGTGGTTCAACGTCACAAGTGGACGTATGACGCCACAGGCCCAAGCGGCCGCCATGCAACGCGGCCTGGGTGGCCTAGCGAGGACGCTCGCCATGAGGGTACCACCTGACATTATAAATTACGGTGCGGACATCGATGGTGTCCACACCGACCCAGTAACCTGCATCATGTTTCTCCTAAGCATGAAGTTCGAACGCCTGGAAGATGAGCGCCAGCTCACTTCAGGCACACAGCTCATCGACTTTCATGTGCCTCACGGAGAACGAATCGATGTCACTCTCGCCCGATTCGACATGGCCCGACTTGAGGCACAGTCGGCGGGATTTGACCTTCCCAACTTCCAACTGCTAACTACTATCCTATTCCGCGCCCTAGGCGTTGGCAACCAGCGAGCCATGCAACTCTTACAGCCACTCAACCACCAAATGCACCGAACACAACAACAGTATGATGAGTTGCTGGAGAGGATGCGTTCGATAGGCCATCTGTCAGAACGATCTCCTGGTAACATAGGATCAGTGCTTGGAAGGGGAAGGGGATCTGGTAGTGGGAATTTCTACACTACCTTAACCACTGAAGCCCAGCCTGGAAACGGGCCCTCAAGCATATGGGCCGACGGTCCTGGAGAGTCTACTGCCCTACTAGCAGGTGATCGATCACAACCAAGCTGGGCAACCAGCACTCCCCCTAGAGAACCTCAACCACACCGCTCCTTGTGGGGTGAAGCAAACCCCCTAACCGACGGTGTATCCACCTACCTGGGAGACGACGATTTCGACTCGGGCACCGACACCGATACTATCTCATCAGACGGTGTTGAACCTTTAGATTGGTCAGATATCATGAACATGGAAGGTGACAATCAGCGTGCCGAACACCTGTTCTGGCTATTACAACAGGCTAAGAGGAGGTGGAGGAGGTTCACACGGAAACCGGTGCGTCGTGTTAGGAGGAGGATACGGAGGATCTTCAAAGGAAAAGGTAAAGGCAAACGGGGTCGCCGTAGGTTAAATGGACGAGGCATCGCGGCCTTCCTCCAGAGGCTTTCTGATGACCAGTATGATGATATTTTTCGGGGGGAAAGGACGTGGTAAAGGCACCTCAGGCAAAGGCAAAGGTAGGCGGGGATACCCGCGAGGTAGAGACGGCCAGATCCTAAAGTGCCATGAGTGTGATAGTACCGATCATCTTGTGAAAGTCTGTCCAGCAAAGGAAATGGAAAGGGCAGATCGACCGAAGTCCATTTCGGCTCGAGTGAACCAGTTATTGAATATCTGAGCCTCCAAGATTTTGAGGCCATGGAGCAGGTATTTTT